GAAGCCAAATTGGGCAGGTTGGGGTTTGGTTTATGTTATGAAGGTGTAAACCATTTGTGTATGAGCTCGGAGATTTTGGGAAGCAAAGGCAAGTTTGATATTGGCCTATAATTGTTTATATTTGTCGGGTTACCACCATTGTGTATTGGTGTTATCCTTGCTATTTTGAGTGATGCCGGGAAAGTGTTGGTTTCTAATGATTTGTTAGAGTAATGCAGTGGTGAGTAAAACGATTTGAGCCGCTCGTTTGTACAGTACTAGTGTCACTTGGGTTACATTTCCTGATTTTTCCTAGAGAGTTAATAATCATGGTAACCTCAGTGGGCTCTGTGGTGCAAGATAGAGAGATGTTGGGAAGCTTCCATCTAATCAATAGCTCGGGCATTGGAAATTGAATTTTTACTGGTAAGATTTGATCCTATGGTTGAGAAAATCATTTATCTTGTTAGCTTTATCAATAGGCTGAAGTTTCGGTTCGTTTGGTTTAGTACAATATTACTAGTTCTGTTTGGTTTGTGGTGCCCAGGATCTGAGAGTGTCTTCCAGCAGGACTGCACATGAACAACGAGGCTTTACAATGAGTAGGGGATGTGTAGATCAAGTGTTTACATTGAAACGTATATATGAACAGTATTTAGATAAAAGTAGGGAAGTTTTCATTTCATGTATGGATTTAGAAAAGGCATATGATAGAGTGGATAGGGGAACAAATTGGCAGACGTATTAAGTGTATAGAATAGGTGGTAAATAACAAAAAAGGCACAATACCGTGACTGGAACGATACACAAATAACCCGCACATAAAAGAGAGAAGCTTACGACGACGTTTCGGTCCGACTTGGAACATTGACAAAGTCACACTAACAGAGGTAGAGCAGGACGGCTATATATTGGCAGGAAGAGGTGGTGGTAGTAGTAGTAGTAGTACAAGAGTTGTATATAATACCGACAAGATGAAATTAAGACACATGCACAACACCTGAGCATCCCCATCATAGACGTTTCGCCATCCAGCCAGCCACTGGATGGCGAAACGTCCACAACAAAGACAACCAGACGCCGCACATGTGTCTTAATTTCATCAGTAGTTGTAGTAGTAGTAGAAGAAGAAGAGGTAATAGTAGTGGTAGTGGTAGAAGTGGGAAATAAAGAAGACGAGCCAGTCAAAAACAAAGGAAGGGGAGCACTGCAAGAGAGCTAGATGCCCACAGAGGGAGAGCAAGCGCACCGAGGTGCGTGAAAGGGAAGTGGTGAAAGAAATGAAGAAGGAACAGAAACACGAGACATGAGAGAGAAAGACAACCCAGAGGAGCAAAGGAAAGAGGAAAGGGGAAGAGGAAGAAGAAGAAACAGAAAAATAAAAAATAAAAAATGAGGATTCAGGTTAAGTCACGGGTGTTCTCTCTTTTATGTGCGGGTTATTTGTGAATAGGTGGTAAGTTACAAAATGCTGTAGAGTTTTTATGAGGATAGTGAGGCTCAGGTTAGGGTGTGTATAAGAGAGGGGGACTACTTCCCGGTAAAAGTAGGTCTTAGACAGGGATGTGTTATGCCACCATGGTTGTTTAATATATTT